TTCCGGGGGGGACGTGTGAACGGGTTTGGGGAGGCAAGGGGATGGCGCGGGTAGCAAAGGGGACTGGGGAGGGGGGTTGAGTGACACCCCGGGGAAGCCGCCCGCCTCGCCTCGCCTCTTAAGAGAGCACCTCGCTGTTCTGCGAACCAGCCGTGAGCCTCGCGCGGTTCAAGTTCATTCATAAATGGCAAGTAGACACGTCCCCCTTTATTTAGCGTGACTTCCTCTTTGAAATAAATGAAAAAAACGCTCTTTTGCGCCTTGCAGCCAACGAGATCCCTGCCGTGGGTTTGTTTCCTCTTCCTTTTTCCTTTTTTTCCCATTTAATGGAGGGGGGGGCGGAATCAGAGGACAGACTTTCACCTTGAAGCATTTTTTCAAGGCTCCGGCGTGTGTGCGTGCGCGCCTCTTTAAGACACAACTGCGCAACGCCCCGGCCGTTTCAGAAAGGCGTTTGTGTAGTGGTTTTTAATGCAAGCCTGTTCCTTCGCGGATTTTTGAACCCTGGCTTCCCACGTTATCATGGGCTGGTGGATTGCTGGAATCCGCCGATTTTTTCCTAGCGTCAGGTGGGAACTCTCGGCTGGGTGGGAATGCGAGCCTGGGACTTAGGGCTCTAGAAAGAATGAATGGGGTCAACGCTGAAGATCGTTCGCAGCGTCTTTATTCAGTTTCCACTTCTGGCCAGGATGGCCAGTTCACAAACAAGGGTTGAACTCTGCACCTTTAATTGAAGGGAAGACTCAGCCTATGGCTTCTCTAACAGACTTGGTGTTCCTAATCTGTAAACTGGAGCACCAGAGGGATGTTTGCTCAGCTCTGTCAGATGGTTTTATGATGGCCACATTATGGCCTGAGTGGATGGCCTGTTTTGCACAAAAGGCTAAACAATAGCTGGATTCACAGGATCACTGAACATCCAACTGCACTTTAGTCTAGGTTTGCAAACCTGGCCACTGTATTTTGTTTGATTTGGGAGTAGCCACTGAACCAGGGTTCATGGCATAGCACTGGCCTAGGCATCGAGGCCCCTTCCCCATGTTTGAATTTCAGTTCCTATTCAGCCTTAGCCAGCATGACCAGTGGCAAGGGGTTGTAGCAACTGTATCCAAAATACCTGGAGAACATCAAGTTGTCCACCTCTGGTTAAGAATGGTGTGTGAACATGGGCTTTGCATCTGGGTCTAGCTGGAAGATTTCAGCATTCTCCAAGTTGTAACATGCCTGTTCAGTACTAAAAACAGAGATGAACAGTGTTTCCGGAGAGGAAACCTAGTTAAACCAGGAGGTGCAAACTCTATCAAAACAATCCATAATAGCATGGATGGAGTGCTGTAAATGGACTTTAAGATTTTCTCTAATGAAAACTCTTTAGTGATTTCAGACAGTATGCTTATGATGATCCTTCTGAGTTTACACCACTTGCCTTTGCCAAAATTGGGTGTGTGAGTACCAAAACTTTTTGGAGATGACTCACATTTTTCTGTGTTCACCCAACACACAAAGTCAGCTCTGGTAAAAATCCAGCGGTGTGCAAAAGTCAGCTTTAACTTCTGTGATTAATTTGAACAGGGTGGGAGGACCTGAGAGCTGTATAATTTAATGCAACATCTCAACTTTTTCAACTGTAATAATTATTGATAGAGCGTCCAGACTTTGTTTGGATGAATAGGGAGGGTGACATAGTGTTATATCTGCTGGCAGTGGGGGAAAGTGTTAAACTGGATTTCCACCCCGATTGGGATTGAAAGCACGAAGGAGCGCAGTGCAACACTTCTTCTGGGTCAGCTTCTATTATCTATCCTTGGTGAGATTTATTGCCCATTTGAGCTGGAATATTTACAAAGCGTGAACAAAGCAAAGGGTTGCTAGAAAGTAGAGGGTGATAAATACCTTGGGCAGATACCTGCAGATGTTGCTAAAGTTTCTAGAAGGTTATACAAAAATGTTCCCTTTCTAAAACCAAGTACAAACCAAACCACTTGGTAAATTTCTTGTTCCATGTATTGTGTGAACCCAGAAAATAAGTTAATTCCATAAACAGATTACTGTGTTGGGTGAATTTAGCGATGGATTCAGTTCATAGATTATAGAACAGGGTTTCTCAACCTTGGCAGCTTTAAATTGGGTAGACTTCAAGTCTTAGAATTGAAGTCCAGACATCTTCAAGTTGCCAAGGTTGAGAAACACCAGTATAGAGTATTCCAAGGAGTCTTTCTGCCCTGTGTGAACTCAGCCCAAGTGCTGTTTGACCTTCAGTATGGAGCTTTGACCATTGCTTCCAGTCAAAGTGGGCTAATTCCCTTGCCTCCTCTTTTCCAGAAAGAAAGCAAAGCAAAGCTATCGATATGCAGCAAAGTGTGTTATGCCATTGGTGGGGCACCCTATCAGATCACCGGTTGTGCTTTGGGATTCTTTCTCCAGATTTACTTACTGGATGTGGTGCAGGTAAGTCTTAACTGGCTCGGGTACTCTCTTTGGGGTAGGGTGGTGGTGGTCAAATCAAAGACCTATTTGGGACTTGTGTTGGATTCAACTCCAGGCTGAGCTACTTCCTCAGATTTGCACCCAATATAGATGTTCTTTAAGGGCTGTTTTCTTTGTCTTAGTGTTTCCCAAAAGCTTTGATGGAATGCATTTCCATGCAAAATTTCCTACATGCCCCACTCTATGTAGAACCCTAGCTTTTCAAGGAGGCCCCTTGCCTTGCCTGCTGCTTGACATGCTAACTTTCTGTATGGAGGGACCTTCTCGTTGCTCTTTCAGATCTAGTCTCAGTGCTGTGTCCTTAGTCCCCACCTTATGGGCAGCCCTCCTTCACGCCACCCCCTACTGATCCAAGGGCTTCCGCAGGGCTGTGTATGTCAATCATGTCAAAGTGGTGGATGTGACTAGACAATTGAAGTTCTGCCCCTTTTTAAGATGTGTTGCAAGCATCATATACCGTGCAAAATGGACATGGTTTCAGTCGCCTGATCCAGCCTTCCAATCTGATGTTGTTGACACTCCTCCCCATAGGCACTTCTCACAGGATCTGTGGATGGAGGGCATTGTGAAATGCCCTGAGCCAATGCCAATGTTGGATTAGTGTTTTATAATCCAGCAAGTCATAAATAGTGTAGCCTTCAAAACCTACTCAGCCAAGAAAGTAAGCAGGAGGTAGAATTACCTGGGCCAGAATTCTCCTATAAGTTTGCACAGTGCAGCTTTCTCCCATCCAGCATCTTCCAGATGTGGTAGGATTACAATTCCCAAAATTCCTAGCAGCACAGCGATTACTGATGCTGTCTGGGAGTTCCAGGAGTTAGCAGGCAATAGCAAAGGCGCTCCCCCATTCATCCAGAGGGCACCAGCTTGGGGAAAGCTGCAGCATCAAATCTCTCCTGCTGGGAGGGAGGGATTTAAAAAAAAATGCTGCCAATTGCAGGGCTGTCTCTTGCTTTTCTGCCTTGCTGGAACTTCATGCTTCCCCCTCATTGACCTAATGTGAACTGAACCAGGGCGGAAATCCAGTGCCTCACCCCACTTCTAGTCTAGTATACAACCACACTGTTGAATGCATTGTTGAGTCAATTTTACATGCTCCTGACAAGTGTTCTCAATTTAAGGACACCTTGTTTTCTCATGGTGCATTGCTGGCCCTTGATTATATGTTCTCGATGGCATTTCACTTTCAGTAAATAACTCCTGATGGGAAGGGCAGCACTTTTGCTATTGCTTGGTAATTCATTGACTGAGTTCACCCATCCCACAAAGTCCTGGCTTGCTTTAACTGTAGTTTGTTGAATAAGCCACATTGGCTTGGTTCATCAATCACCCAGAGCCTAGCCAACCAGCTAATGTTATATACAATTGGTGAACTTCGTTGACATGTGGTTCCATCTGTTTTTGGCCCCGTCATCCCTGGAAGCCTGCGTAGCATGTAGAAGCTCATAGCTTTGGCTGAAGAATTCAGCATACGTGAAGTCTCAAAACTTGGGGGTGGCAGACCTGAAAATGCAATCAATATGACTTCACCATCTGATAACGTATCTTCAGGCTTCAGCTTCTCAATGTCAAGCTTCAGCTAGAAGCAGGACTTGAACCATTAAGAGAAGCTCAGGAGAAAATACCAGAACTACAGAGTAAGTCATATTTATTGGAAAAGATAGAAAGCTGTTACCAAGAGAATTTCAGCAACTGCAGCTGCTCAAGAAATTGGCTGAAGTTCATAAGGATTTGGTTCAAACGTTGAGTTTTCCACCTTGCCCTAGCTCATGGATTTCTTGAGCTCCTCTTGCCAATTGGTTGACTTGTTTCTACTTGTCCTTTGTTTCTGCAATATACAGACTTGCTTTTATTTTATTTATTACTTACAATGAGAGAATGAGCTCTCACACTCAGGTTGAATGGAGGTTCTTCCCTTCTTCTGTTTAACAGATGGACCCCTTCTATGCATCCATCATCCTTTTCGTGGGCCGTGCTTGGGATGCCGTAACTGATCCTCTGGTGGGTTTCTTCATCAGTAAAAGCTCCTGGACTTGCTTTGGACGCCTGATGCCCTGGTAAGCATGCAAGGATGCAGTCTTGTGGATGGGGGGAAGATAAAGCCATTTTCAAGCAAAGTCTCATGCTATATGGTGACATCTGTGGAGTTTTCTTGACACAAAACAGGCGTGGGTTGTCATCACCTTCTTCTGAGATGTTTTGAAAAGTTATTTTTTATCCAATGCCCTGATGTTTCTTGGTGTCTTTCCATGCAAGAATTAGCCAGGTCCAATCTTGCTTAGCTTTCTGAAGATCAGTTAAGGTTGGCTGGATTCTGCCACTTCCTGTGATAAAACTTAAGCAAGCTCAATTACTGCTGAGCACACCTGAGCAGGAGCACATCTGTATAGTATTCTTGGTGACAGAAGAGAAGCGGTTTGCCATTACTTTATGGCATATTTTTTCAAATACCCAGGGTAGTCTTCAGACTGGAAAACTAGAAGGAAATGCTCCTGTAGACACTGGAAGTCAAGCTCATTTCAAATGAGTCTTTATCTGGCTTAGCAAAAAATGCCAGGGATTGAACTTATAGACCAGTGTTTCTCAACTTTGGCAGCTTAAAGATGCATGGACTTCAATTCCCAGAATTCTTCAAGTTGCCAGGGTTGAGAAACACTGCTATAGATAGTATTGTAACCCTGTTATTTGCAGTTCTTGTTTGGAGAGCATCAAAAACATCAGGAAGGTTTTGATCCTCAGTGACTACAGGTGGATGAGCTGGAGAGCTGGGATAGCTGCAGGTCTCTCTCTCCATTGGGGTTGTAGGAGAAGCTACTAACAGTGGAGGAAGTTGGTTGGTGTCTACCATAGTCAAGTGGGAAAAAATCAAGGGGTGCCTTTGAAGAGTACCAGTAATATTGGCAACTCATTATGTCCCCTGCCTTTGTGACTGCAGGATTGTGGATCAGTTTTGCTCTTTCCCCACCCTGGGTAATATTTCTGGGTCCTTGTAGAGCTATAGGATGAAAGTGACTTGATGAAATTGAGACACTTTGCATGATGTGAGTGTGCAAAGCAACTCTTGCCGGTTTCATGGGCCACAAGGGAGAAGTCAACTTGCACTTGGGGTAGGGGGGAGCCCAGCACAGCCTGGCTGATCCTTGAAGGGTTTTGCAAGTGTAGGTATAAAACCCTGCAATGGGTAACATGCTTACTGAAGCTGAGCTTTCTTTCTGGATATTCCATTCTCCCTTCCCCCATTTCAGCAGTTGGTGAGCATTTTAGAGATAGCATGCCCCAGGTGGCTTGGAGAACACCTGTTCTCTTAATTTATAGCAGGCATGGGCAGAAGACTTGTAGGAATTGTTCCAGATCTTGTGGTCCATCATTGTTGATGATATTAGTGCTGATGGGTGTACAGCAACTGCAGGGCACCAGATTGTGTTTGCCTAGGAGTGACAGGAAAATTCTTCCCTAACCCAACACCCTGGGAATGTGCTATGGCTACCTTCCCAAACTCCCAGCCGATGTGGCCAACAGCAAATCTGGGCAGCATAGACCTGGCTCCCTGGAAGACATTGGGGCAGAGAACTGTGGATTGTAGATCTGCCTAGGCTTTGTGGTTTTATTAGTTAAATGCCTGTAATAGAATGTGAGAATGGCCTTGGAAGATGGTGGCAGGGGAGGAGAAGAAATGCTGCCTAGGGAATGATCTGATAAAAGGGGGAGGAGCCCCCAATTGAGTAACAGACAGAGAAAGAAACTTAGAAAGGACCCCCCCCCTCACATGATCAGGTGGGAAATAGGTGCAGTGAGAGAGTTGTACTTTGAGACTTGCTAGATTGATGCCAGCCTTCCCAGGTAAATCCAACAGGAAACACAACCAGATGAGCTAATTCTACTTTATTGATGTACAACTCTCCCAACATCTCTTTTTACAGCCTGATCAGTTAGGGCGGTTCCTTTCTCAGTCTGTTTCTCTGTCCATTACTCAGTTGGGGGCTCTTCCCCCTTTTATCAGATCGTTCCCTAGGCAGCATCTCTCCCCCCACCATCTTCTAAAGTCATTCTCACTTTCCATTGCAATGCCTTTGTGATGGACTGGATGGGAACTGGTTTATATATCAAGGAAGATTCCTTGAAAAATCCAGTTGCTCCACTGAATCCATTGGTCCTCTTCCTCTTCCCTATCCCCTAACTCCCAGTGCAGGATGGCTGGCTGTGGAATTCTGGGAGTTGAAGTCCACTCATCTTAAAGTTGCTAAGGTGGAGAAACATGGCACTAGACCATCTCTGAGAGTTGATTCAGCCCTTGTTTGAACCCCTCTAGGGAAAGAGAATTCTCTACTTCAGTGTTTCTCAACCTTGGGAACTTTAAGATGGGTGGACTTCAACTCCCAGAATTCCACAGCCAGCATGCTGGCCGTGGAATTCTGGGAGCTG